GAGCCGCCGCCTGCCCCCGGGCACCACCCGTCAGCCGGCGCGGGAAGGTGCTGGGCTCCTCGGGGGCGTTTCCGCGCCGCCTCCGCGAGGGCCCTGCGGGGCTGGGTGCGAGTGAGGGGCACGGCCTGTGTCCTTCCTTCGTTTCCCTGGATTTCAGCATTTTGAGTCTTTTGGGGGAAGGCCCCCAAACTTGTATGAATTGTTTGAATTTCTTTCCTCCGATTACATGAGGTACTAGACGGGGTGATTACCCCGGTTGAGTGAAATATATCAGCACAAACAAAATGATAAGCAGAGTTGAAACATCACTTTTCAGAAGTCTGTAGTTGAAATAATGATGATGTTAGGGAGAAAAATAGTAACAGTCCTTGGTAATATCCTTTTATATTTTAGACTTGATAGGAAATGGATTGTATCTCTGTTAATAGTGTTTTCATGAAGCCCCGGCTATGACAGCTGACATCAAATAAGCCGATCCAACTTCTTCTAGCAAAGACCCTATAACTGAGCCAAGGCAGCTGCTCTAACTTTTTCTACCTTTAACCCCCTCCAGACCTCAGGTTCTTCATCTGCAAAACATGCTGTCATTAGGTTATAATTGAGGCCCTTTCCTGCCTTAGATTTCAGTTTCTAAGTATATCAATGTTCGGTAGGAAATAATGTGTGTGTGGTGGCTTCAGGAGTAAATTTAGGGATTAAAAATCATGAGAAGACGTCAGCCCTAGATTGTGTGATAAATTCTTGTATCCAAAATTTAACATTTAATTTAATAATTTTTTTGAGTCAGAGTCTCACTCCGTGCCCAGGCTGGAGTGCAGTAGCATGCTCAACGTCACCACAGCCTCCACCTGCTGGGCTCAGGTGATCCTTCCACCTCAGTCTTCCAAGTAGCTGGAACTACAGGCACCACCACCATACTTGGCTAATTTTTTGATTTATTGTAGAGATGAGATCTCACCAAGTTTCCCAGGCTGATCTCGAACTCGTGGGCTCAGGCAATCCTCTCACCTCAGCCTCCCAAAGTGCTGGGATTATAGGTGTGAGCCACCGTAGCCAGTCAAAAATTTAACATATTTTAAATGGAGCATGTTAGGTATTGCTGAAACATAGGTCTATTTTTTGTTTGTTTGTTTATTTTTGAGTTGGAGTCTCACTCTGTCGCCCAGACTGGAGTGCAGTGGCCGCT